GAGGTGGAGGGGAAAGGACACTGATAAGTGAAGAGGATCGAAGTATGTTCCATACATAGGAAGACAGTATAACAAAACTCAACAAACACTGAAAAAGAGGAGAGGAGGGAGGGAGAATGAAAATATAATGTGTTCATGTATAGTGCCTGCTTTGGAAGCATGAAGCCCTGAGTTCAAACATTGGTCCTACAAAAAAAGAAAAGAGAAGAGAAGATTAAAGAAAAAAGAAAAGAAAAAATCAGGAGAGGAGTCAGGCATGGTGGCAAACACCTGTAATTCCACCTACTTGGATGCTGAGGAAGGAGGATCACATATTCAAGGCCAGCTTGGGCAGCTGAGCAAGACTCTGTCTCAAAATAAAAAAAAAAAAGGGCTGGGGATGTAGCTCAGTGATAGAGCACTTGCCTAGCAAGCATGAAGCCCTGGGTTCAATTCCAAGTACTTCCAGGAAAAAAAATGTATAAAAGGTGGGGGAGGGCTGGGGATGTAGCTCAAAGGTAGAGTGGTTGCCTAGTACAAGGCACAGCTCTGCAGGGAAAAAATTTTAGAAAAGTAGGAGAACATTTTAACACGCACATACATACAAAGAGAAATACACTGTATTTACAACATAAAGGATAGTTCCTCTCAAGAAAGAATGGTTGGCAATAGTTTCTATTTCTCTGGGATTGGAGAAATCTTTGCCAATGGTCCTTATAGCAAGATTTGGCAACCCTAGAACTCATGTTACTGTAATTCTAGGTTTTAGTCTCATTTGAAAAACAAGATGATTGAACTAATAATCGAATAAAATTCCTTCTAGCTCTGAATTTCAAGCCATTTGTGTTGTGTATGTGTGTGTTTGTTTTGTTGTGCTTTTTGGTAGGACTGGGGTTTGAACTCTGGGTTTATCACTTTACTGCTTGAGCCACATCTCCAGTCCATTTTTCTCTGGTCATTTTGAAGATGGGGGCCTCACAAACTATTTGCCTGGTCTAGCCTTGAATCTCAATCCTTCCTATCTCAGCCCCCTGAATAGCTAGATTGTAGGCATGAACCACTGGTACTGGACTTGTTTGATTTTTTGTGATCCTGAGATTTGAACTCAGGGCCTTGCACTTGCTAGATAGCTACTGTACCACTTCAGCCATACCTCCAGCCCAAAAAGGTAGGTGAATTCCATGTCTAACGAATCAGCATTATTGGAGTAGAGATCTTGAAATCTTCATTGTTAATACTGCTCTAAGCAATTAAGGCTTTTTTTGTCTTTTTTACTATGTAGCCCAGGCTGACCTTGCATACCTGATTCCTTGCCTCCACCTCCCTGAGAGAAAGATTATAGGGGTATGCCACCACTCCCAGCATACGTTAAATTCTTATGCAAAATGACTTCAGAGTTTCAATTAGAAAAGTCCAAAGAAGCCAGGTGTGATTGTACACACCTATACCCTGTAATCCCAGCTACTCCAGGGGCAGAGGCCAGAAGATCTCGAGTTCCAGGCCAGCCCCAGCTACATAGCAAGTTTTAGGCTGGTCTGGGGTACTCAGTGAGACCCTGTTTCAAAAAAAAAAAAAAAAAAAAAAAAAAACCAAACCAAAAAACCCAAATAATAATAGTAAAAAAAGTACACCACTTTCAGAATTGGAATATTTCTAGCTACACGACTTCCTCCTTTCAAGATGAGGTTGAATAAATTGCTAAACTCTAAGTACAAGCTAGTGTAGCTCCTTTGTTAAGATTCCAGCTTGACCAAGTCCCTCTCATCAATATTTCTTCTTGACAGAGGAAACAGCTCAATTGATTGGTTAAGGGTTTGAGGATTTCATGGTTCTACACTTTTAAATATAATCAAGAAATCCTTAGAAGTCTAATTCCCTAGATTTTCCAGTCCTAAACCACACATTTCAGTAATATGTAATATATATTATATATACTTATTACTCTCCCCATGTCTCATGCTTCAGTATAGGATGAAAGAATTATTATGAATATGCCTCTGTAGACTTTTCCTTCCCAGAATTTCCTAACAGGGTCAGATGATACTGAAATGTTGAAAAAGCACAGCTGTATTAGATTGACCCATTGGATTGTATTGGCTTTTTGGATTGACCTACAGAGCATATATTCATAGCACATACATAAACACATATTAAAAGACTTATTACAGATGTCTTTTTATATTAAAAATAGGTACTAGGCTGGCAGAATGGCTCAAGTGGTAGAGTGCCTGCCTAGCAAGCACAAGGCCCTGAGTTCAAACCCCAGTAGCACCAAAAAAGAAAAAAAAAATTAAAATGGTGACAATAACTTAAAAGTGAAACTAAAATGGTGAAAGAAGCACTCTGGAGGTGGAAGCAGGAGGACTGTGAGTTCCAGGCCAGCCTGGTGTACATAAGAGCCCCTGTTTCAAAAAACAAACAAAAATACCAACAACAAAGGAACTTTTTTTTAAACCTTTCTCTGAAATATTGAATATAGGAAATGAAGATAAATTTTGAAAACTGATGAAAAAGATTGTGAATGACTCTCCCTTCCTAAACTAAAAATATTGGCAAGACTTACCAACTACAACATGTAGAGAATTACTCAGTATTTCATATTTGGAAATATTTAAATATTTCTTGAATTGAATTAAGTAAGTTTTCACATTCAAACTGACTTTGGGAACATAATCTTAACACAGAACTCCAGCAGTAGAAAATTACATGTGTAAAACTGATTTCAAAGAGAATCACCAGGGACAAAAGTACTCTGCACAATAAAATCTGATTTGGACTGACATTTAGTGAAAAGAATTGGTTGTGTGTTCTTAGAGAATATTCAATGTAACACTGTATGGAAATAGTATACAATACTATTAATTTTTCTAGCCAAGAATTGGTCCTGCCTTAATAGGGATAAATAATATGAAATTAGTAATCAAATATCTGTCTCCAAGAGAGGTATGTATGCCAGTTAGGGTTTACCTTTTTTTTCTTTCCTTTCCTTCCCTTCCTCTCCCCCTCTCTTCCTTCCTTTCTTCTTTTCCTCCTTTTTTCTTTTCTTTTTTTGTGATGCTGGCCTCGCTAGCATGCTAGGCAAATGCTCTACCACTGAGCTACATCCATAGTTTCTATTTTTCCTTTAAGTATTTGAAGCAGTCTTTATTAAGTTGGGAAACCAACTTAATTACTATTAAGCATTTCTAAGCATTATTATTTGCTTAGAAATTTTTTATGTGCAATAGGCTTTGTATTCATACCCAAAAGTATTTATTGAGCCCTATTTTGAGCTATGTCGTAGAATGAACACTATATTTCAATAAGTTATCTATGCTAGTCTAACAGTAATTTTCATAAATTCATGAATTCTTAATAGAAGAAAGTCAAATTAGAGGCTTTACAGAATTGATATTCTGTTTTTCAGACAGTATATAAAATCTTTATAATATTCGTTTAAAGCTTTTCAGAAGAATCCTGTTAAGTAGGAAAAACTCTGTTAAAAAGGGAAATCAGTGAGATTTGAGGAGAACAAATAAAACATTCTATACAACTTCTATTTTCTTACTAGAGATTTCTCTGGAGACAGACTAATTCTTTCCTAATTTGATAAACTTGAAAAACTATATACACATATAAAGTTGTAGCATTTCTTGGAGGCCATTACCAGGTAGGACTTCCTTCCCTGTACTCTGCACTCCTATACACACTAAGCTACAGCAGATGAAAAAGGTAAAAACACACGTACATAAGCATTTCCTCTTTTGCAGGCATCAGTGGCTCACTTCTGTAATCCTAGCTACTCAGGAGGCAGAGATCAGGAGGATCTCAGTTGGAAGCCAGCCCGGGAAATAGTTTCGCAAGACCCTATCTTGAAAAAACCTTTCACAAAAACAGGGCTGGTGCAGTGGCCCAAGATGAAGGCCCTGAGTTCAAGCCCCAGTACCGTAAAAAAAAAAAAAAAAATCTTCTTTTATGTGTAACTTTTCCAACTCTGTGTATTCCAAATATTTATGATGCAATGTCTATTTTTTTCTCTTTTTTTGAGGTTGATAAAAACAGCTGGTGCCTGGCAATACAGAGCATAAATGAAAATGAATTTTAATGTAAAGAAAAGGCTTTCAGTTATTTGATATATACAGTGACTGAGCAGTAAGGCTTCTATCTCCACTCAAAGATGACTAAGTCTCGATTCTACGGATCTAAGTAGTATTAGTGCACGAGATGTGTTACTACAATTCGAAAATGAAAACAATAGAGTGGAAGAATAAATTACTTTGGGCTTCAGATGCAAATAACTTAAGAATCGGTTTTGACTAACGTGCTTGTAAGGATTTAAAGATTTGTCACAATTTCAATATAACCAGGGAAACCCTCCATAACTCTATTCCTTTGTTCCCTAGACTCCAAGCATTCATGGTGACAAACGGTTGATTAGTTCTGACGGGAGGAGGGTCGATGCAAGGCGGGGAGGAATTACCAAGAGTTCCTGGGGGCGTCACCCCTTATGAGGCCTGTGGTCCAAAGACCATTACTTAGAATGGCGGGGTTCGTGGAGTTCTCATCCTGGGCACACTTGCGATTACCTCTGATAAGCCTCAAAGATCACAGTATCCGACTAGGCCAGGTTCCCCAACAGAAAGTCGGCGACAGCTGCAACATGAGCAGTTAAATTTTAGGTTTTCATTGACGGGTCTAATGCACCTGTACTAAGATTGCTAGCGCTGAGGGTTCCTAGTTGGGGAAAATATAAAAGGGGGAGAGGAAAGGGTTGAGGGAAGGGAAGGAAGACCAGGAGGGCTCAGGAAAAGGGGGCAGGGATAGGGAGGGACAGGGATGCTGCTGGGAGGGCCACAGGTTTATAGGCGAGATCGTGGAGTTCCCATGGAAACATATCCCTCCGCCCGCGATCTCTCAGTTCCCTCCGCGCCGCTTCGCGACTGTTTCCGCCCAACTCCTTTGTGCCGCGCAGAACGTTCAGATTACGCATGCGCAAGAAGAAAAAAAAATTCCCAGCCGCTGCGTATATAAGCGCGAACCCGGACTGTTCCTTGTAGTGCCGCCGGGACCGTTGGCAAGTGGGAGTGCGTAGCGACTTCCGTACTACTCGAGCCGCAGGCGCTGCGAGCCGAAGAGCAGAGCACGCGGGCCAGTCAACATGTCGCGATACGGGCGGTATGGAGGAGGTAAGCGGCCAGGGCCCAATGAAGGACGGTGTTCGTGCATGCAGGGAGGACTGCGAGGCCGGAGGGTTGGCGAGGCGGTTGGGAGACGGTTATTCCGCGTGCGTAATGGCGGCTCTGGCGCACGCGATACGAAGCCGGAGGCAGCGGGGGCGGGGTGCTGTAGGGAGACGGGGGATGATGCGTGTGCTTCTGTGCCGGGATCCTTGTTTTTGGGCATTTTAACCAGCCGGACCCGGTTGGGGATCTGGGTGTCCTCTTAGCCCATATTGGCGTTGTCCGCCCGCGCCCTCCCCCCGCCTTCGGCGGCGGCTGCCATTTTGCGCACATTGACGGCCGTGGTGGCGCATTTCCTCAGCGCTTTCCCGCCACTGGGGCGGACAGATGTGGTGCAGGGGTGGAACTGAGGCTGAACGAAAGTGGCTACTGCACGCCGCGCATTCTCGGTAAACACTTGACGAATGGGAATGGAGACGTGATTGTGGCGGGTGTTTTTTTGTTTTTTTTTTTTTTTTTTTCCTTAGCCTTCTTGAGCGCGGACTCGGGGACCGGGACCGGGGCTCGGGGGAGGACGGGGCCCGGCGCGGCCCTGCTCGGGGTTCCCAGCCCGCGGGCCTCCGCCACTACCGCCGGCCCGCCCGCCTGCAGCGGTCCCGGGGCTGCCGGGATTCGGGGGCGGGGCGCCGGGCCCGCCCGCCTAGGGTGCCCCGCCGCGCGTCCAGCCAGGGTTTTGGAGGGTTCGCCCCGTAAGAATGTTGAGAACTCAGCGTAAACCTAGCTTTTGAGGAGTTTGCGGGCTTTTCCGGCTTCCATAATGAATTTAGCCCTCTATACAGAGCACGGACGGTGCTTTACACAAGCCGGGCGTGGGTGGCGCACGCTCTAGCCCCGAACATGAGGTTTAATTGGCGTAGTCCTGGAGCTCTAGACTTGCATGAGCAAGAATCTGGGTTTACCAGCACCTCCAAAAAAATACTTTTCAAAATTCTAAGGGTAGCCTGCTTGTTTTAAGGCAAAAATTCGTTTCAGTCTGAGCCAAGCTTTGCCTAACTTGGTGTTTTTTCTTTTTTTTCCTGTTTCCATTTTTAAACAGAAACCAAGGTGTATGTTGGTAACCTGGGAACTGGTGCTGGCAAAGGAGAGTTAGAAAGGGCTTTCAGTTACTATGGTCCCTTAAGAACTGTGTGGATTGCCAGAAATCCTCCGGGATTTGCCTTTGTGGAATTTGAAGATCCTAGAGATGCAGAAGACGCAGTACGAGGACTGGATGGGAAGTAAGTGAGCTGTTAGCTACGAAACTTTAATTAGAATTTTCCTGTGTGCTAGGTAGTGAGCTAGGGGCCACTCTTGTATTCTACAGTTTGGAGACTTTAAATACTTGGTCATGTTACCTGCTTGAGAACTGAAGGTTAAAGAAGATAGCAAAGGTGCTTAGTAAAGAGAGCCAAAGCTTGTGAAGGGGGAGAGTGGTTTAAAGAGTTCTTGTAAGTAACGAAGTCATACATCTGTTTTTAACTGTAGAATTTTACTATGTTTTATAGGGTGATTTGTGGTTCTCGAGTGAGGGTTGAACTATCAACAGGCATGCCTCGGAGATCTCGTTTTGATAGACCACCTGCCCGACGTCCCTTTGATCCCAATGATAGATGCTATGAGTGTGGCGAAAAGGGACATTATGCTTATGATTGTCATCGCTATAGCCGACGAAGAAGAAGCAGGTATTTAATTAATAAAGGAATGGTTGGTATTCTAGTTAATCAAAGTAATTCTTTTATTAGCAAGGCAGAAACTAGTGTTTTTCTATAAACTTGAATGTTAATTGTACAGGTGTATTTTACAATTTTTGTTTTAATTAAAAATGTTAATATATTAATAATCAACCTGATCAAAACCTTTCAGGTTTCTTCGTTTGAGTCAGTCGCCTTGATTCAGAATGTCACGAGCCTTATGATATCATGCTGAGGCGCCTTGCAAATCCGACAATTAAGATCCTCCTAGACCTTGAGGTGATCAGCATAAGAGGCCAGATCCCCTCGAGTCATCTACACCTAGCTTCACCTTATTCTTTAAAGGGCAGAAAATTTGAGACGGTGATCGCCGTAACAGTAAATTTGGCTTACAATTGGGGCCCCCTCCGCTTTAGAAAGAGGAACACCAGATTGACCACATTCCCAACTAGAAAAATCTTCTTGCGTCAATCAAGCCTCACCTGGCTCTTTTGGCTGTCAGTTTGATCGTCGTTAGATTGAAGAAAACATCTAGATGCAGCGATCGGCTATAGATACTTCTAGATCGGCTAGATCTACTAGACCTACTACTAGACCATGGGCCAAAGAGGGTCGACCTGCAAACTTGCAAGGTTTATTTTAAATACACATTATGGTGTTTTATATTATGTAATTCTAAGTTGTAATTCAGCTTTTAACAAATCTTTTTTTAGGTAGTAAAAAAAAAAAAAAAAAAACTAATAGGCCCAGAGTTTATTTCCAAATGAGACACTAAATTTTAAATAGTTTTGAGATTTGATTTCAGCAAAGGCACACAAACTCTAAAAATGAGTTGTCATCTAATATTCTGTATTTTTCTAACTTGAAAACTAGGTCACGGTCTAGATCACATTCTCGATCCAGAGGAAGGCGATATTCTCGCTCACGCAGCAGGAGCAGGGGACGGAGGTGAGAAATCTTGTATAATTCACATCTTAACAAATGGAAAATAACTGTTTAGAGATGGACTTAAATTTCTTATAATTTTTTAGGTCAAGATCAGCATCTCCTCGACGATCAAGATCGGTGTCTCTTCGTAGATCGAGATCGGCTTCACTCAGAAGATCTAGGTCTGGTTCTATAAAAGGATCGAGGTATTTCCAGTATGTAACAGTTTCTTCCTCCTTACTTGTAGTTGGATTGTCACATCTTAATGACTGCACAGTGGAGTATCTTAAAGACATAATCCAAATAAGATACTTAAGAAAATACTTGAAATGTAAAAGTTATAACAGGTGTGGTGTGACCTCTAATCTCAGCACTTGGGAGGCTGAGACAATTGGATTACTTGAGTCCAGGAGTTCAGACCAGATTGCAATATAGTGAGACTGGTTCAGCAAAATGAAAGGAATTTATACATGATTTATTATGAGTGTAAAGCACAACCAGGAATTTTAAGGCTTGTGGTAGAGGAGGGTCAAAAGCAACAAGTCATTCCAGTGAATACTCTGGGTAGATGTGTTGCTGTGAACTTTTCTGATGTCAGATTATGTTGTTAGTTCAGTTCCAAAAGATGGTGACTCCTGGTTTCTGACAAGAACCACTAGACTGGTTTTTGGAATCATGGAGACCCTGGAAGGTTGTCCTTGGGGATTAATTGACTAAAATCAAAACACTCTTGTGAGCTAAGAATAAAGCCTTACCCAATGGTGGCTTTCTTTTCATGGGTGTTTTATTACATGAAGAGCTAAAGTCTTGTTTGAGGGCTGTGTGGCCTGTGAGAGTTAATGTGATCTCTTTAAAATCAAGCCTTACCAGTCTTGGATGAAAAACCTTGGATATTAAGGTGTTTGAGAATGAGAATTAATCCTGAATGGGAGCAGTAACCAGTTGAGTATGATAGAAGCAGGTAGTTGAAATGATGGTTCTTTGTAAATACAAGGAACTCAGCTTATTTGTCCTATCTTAGAAAAGGCAAGAATTGTGTGTCTTCCTTAGTTTTAGCTCCTCTGTTCTTAACCTATCTAATAAGGTACTCTGTAATAAAGGAATTCAAATGGACTAATTGGTGTGTGTAATTGAATTTTTACCTTTCTTTATTAAGATCCCGTTCGAGATCAAGATCAAGGTCCAGGTCTCTTTCACGACCAAGAAGCAGGTAGGGTAAAAAATCTGATTAGATGTTCTTAGTTATATGGCACCAATATCCAAAGAGTTCAAAGTGTTGGATTGTTTAAATTTCAAGTGTTTTTCAAAGCCTAGGTGTTAGTCGCAAAAAAAAGTACTTTAATCCAAATAAGAACTTCATTTATATGTGGCCTATTATTGGCTGGCTTCCTAGAGGAAGGAATGTTAAGAGAAGTTTATAGCTTTGGGGGTAAGAGGCCCTTGTTAGAACTGGTAGGTGCATGGAGAAGCATTCTGAGATAAATGTGCAGAATGTAAAAGATGAACCATGATTATATAGCAGTTTAATTTATGAAAAGCAGTTTTTGGAAGATTGGCCTTTTTTTTAAAGCAATCTCTGGTAGCTCTAAAGTTACATAATGGTCTTGACATTTTACACTTAGTGTAATTTGGGGGTTTTATGTGTTACGACAATAAGAAAAAGGGATTGGTTAGTACTTTCTCTTAATAGAATTTCTCATGTTTTGACAGCCGATCAAAGTCCAGATCTCCATCTCCAAAAAGAAGGTAAGCTAAATGGTTTTGCCAAATCTTTATCAAGTGTGGCCTCTGCAGAATTTGCTTACTGCCTATAGCAGTCTTTGAGCTCTTTGGAAAATTGGTGCTGTATAGATTAGGTATTAAGTTTCTGAAATGATTGCCTTTCCTTCTTCAACATCAGTTAATGCTTTTGTTGGAAATATTTAATAAAACTGTTGAGATGATTATTAAGTTCTGTGAACCCTAGTAGAAGTTTCATGCTAAGAAACAATCTTTTTTTTTCCTCATGGACAACAAATGAAAAAGAAGTGTCAACATGAGGAAAAGCAGATCTTGCAAAATAGTTCTAATTTTGGAACTAAAATTACTTTCTGCTCAGTGGTCCATTATTAATGACCAAACAAACCTTTTTGAGTAGTTCTGTTGCAGTTTTGACACGAGCAGTATTTAAAAGCCTAATCATTTAACAAGAACAAAAACACCAGATATTCATAAATCACTCCTACTTGTGAATTTAGTACCTTTGAATTTATTGAAATACTGAGTTTCCTTGACGTGTACATGAGAAAAGTTAAGTTTCAGTAGACACTAATTGGTTCCAAACCTAATGTTTTTCTTTTTAGTCGTTCCCCATCAGGAAGTCCACGCAGAAGTGCAAGTCCTGAAAGAATGGACTGAAGTTCTCAAGTTCACCTTTTAGGGAAAAGTTATTTTGTTTACATTATTATAAGGGATTTTGTGATGTCTGTAAAGTGTGACCTAGGGAGGATTTTTCAACCATCTAATCAAAATCAATCTGGATTATTACTCTGTAAATTCACAGCAGTAAGATAATGTTTTTGTTGAATGTATTAACATCTTATGGTCTGAAAATGTGGGTTTTTATTTGGCACATTTAAATAAAATGTTTCTAACTAGTATTTTGATTTGTGTGCAATATTAATACTTTCCGATTTGGTAAACATCAGGTGTCAGACTTGATAATTGTTATTAACCATATTTATACAGACATTTGAAGTTTAATGGTGTTAAGTCTTGAACATCATTAACTGATCTATACCTAACACTTGGTCAGGATCTTAAGGGACTTTGAAAATCCCATTTTACCCTTGCAGCTTTGGGTAAGATGATCTTGAGTCCCCTGTAATAGCATGAATGCATCATAACAAATCCCTAGACTATTTGAAGTTTGGTGTTACTAGATATTTCCAAACTAATGATCTCACAGTCTGTCAAGCTAGAGGGACCACTGATTTACCTATAAATGAGCATGGCAGGAACAAAGCAAAGTTTACTGAAAGTAAATGTGGTATTGGGAGAAACTGATTTCTGGAGGCTGTAAAGTAGCTAATTGAAGGTTTCAGGTTATTAAACGGGGATGGTTTCTACTCAATGTTCTTTTGATTCTTTGCTTTCAAACAGCCAACTTTATATTTAAAAAATGCATGTTTGAGGACTTGTTTGAATTTGAAACAAAACATTGTAAACCAGCTTTGCAAAATTTTCCAGTCCAGATACACTTCTATTCCTTTGAATGGATTGCCTTACTCTGTGCAAAGATTAATATCCAAGCTAGATTTTGCAGTTCCTGACAACCAACATTCATCCTCCTATTTTGCCAAGCTGGTACAAAGTAAAGTTGTTAATTTAATGTTAATGAGACTAACACAGTTTGTAAATCTTACACATTTACCAACACTTCATATATAACTAAGTTTTTTTGGTAGTGTCTGGTAGAGCTTAGAATGGTATAGCCAGTACGTTCTTGTTCAGACTTTAAATGTTAAGTAAGTATAATAGGGCAGTAACAGTTACTTTTGAGAGTTTTCTGGACAAGCTTTTTACTATATTCTCTAACCTTGGTGTGAAAACAAAAGTACAGGAATCTGCCCTAAGAAAATGAACATTTTCTTAGGCTTTTTCAACAAAAACATTGGATAGTATTGCCATTTGAGAATATTGGTCTGCCTCAAATTTGGTGGTCTGAGTGAGTGATCACTATTATGTTGGAAATCATTTGGATTCTTTGTTTTTGGAATATGACAACATGGTTGGTATAAAACTGTAATTGGCAGGCTTATTTATCTGTTGCACTTGGTTAGCTTTAATTGTTCTGTATTATATAAAGATAAGTTTGCTCAACAATAAATCTGCAGAGATTGAATAAATAATCCTCATACTCAATTTTTGGAAGTCTGGGCTCTGAGCCAAAAGTACAAATCAATTCTGTAGCTTTTAAGGGTGGGTAACAAGTAGCATTCTAGAAATCAGTCTGAAAAGATAATGCTAATGAAGTAGGGGTAGAGTTAAAAGGGTTTTCAGAAACAGTTCTGCTACCCTTAGAGAGAAGGGAGTATTGGTCAGCAGCTTTAGTATTCAAGTGCAACTTGACCCTTTTGTTTTGTACTTTACATCAAAACGATGCTTTTTCCCTGTTCTAAATCATTGTGACTGCTTAGTTTTAAATTGATCATTACTGACTTGAAAAGTGCTGCTCTATATTCATTTAAAATTTTCAGTCTAGCATGATTGGTAGCTAATCATGCATGTGTTGAGCACTTTTAAAGACGTATTTTGGCTATTTTACTTGGCATAGAGGAATAAATATTGCATACCCTGTCCTCAGTGATGATTCCTCATTGAACTATTAAGTGACAATGGTGCTATTTTGATTTGTACTCTACTGAAGACAGAATACTGAGGAGGTATTGAAATAACATCAGTTTGAGATTGGTAAAGTGGGGTTGGATTTTGATTTTCATCTGGACTATGGACATATAAAAGAACATGATCTTTCTATAGGACTGGACTGGAAGGTATAAACCTGATAAACTGGCAAAAAGTTGTAGAAAGTGAAGGAAAATGGCAAATGCATAATCTAGAAGTTGAATGCATACATAGCTGGAAAGATCAGGCAAAAAGTACTATACAAGGCTGGTTTTGGAGTAGAGGGTGATGAGAACCAAAAATAAGGGTGAAATAGATTGGATACTTCATTATAAAAAAACCACAATTTTTGATTTTTTTGAAACCAGGTCTCCAAAGCCCAGACTAGCCTTGAAACCCTCCTGTTTTTGTCTGCTGCAGTCCTGGTGTTTGGTGTGTGCACTGTGCCCAGCTCAGAACTTCAGGCAATTTCAAAGCTTGTAGGAAGTAATTGTTTTGACCATGATTGCAGCAGACCAAGTCAGGTAAAAACAGCAAATGTGAGTTTTTCACATTTGTCTGTTTACTTTAGTGGAATTGTCAAAATCATAAATTTAGCCTCCATAGTGATAATAGTGTTTTTATCACCACTTTACAGAACAGGACTCAAGATTGCTAATTTAGTCAGCAGTCTGACTAAATTCACCTGGTGGGAAGTAGGGAGTTTCATAAATCCTACCTGTGGTTTCAAACCTGTCTGGGTCTTGCTATGTTACTAGGCTGTTCTGCGATTACTGGGGTTCAAGTGATTTTGCCTCATCCTCTTGAGTAGTTGGAACTACTCTGGTGTGCACTACCATGCCCAGCTATCTTTTTTTTTTTTACATGGGACTGGGATTTGAACTTGCAAAGCTGCTGCTCTACTGCTTGAGCCACACCCGGTCCATTTTGCTCTGGTTGTTTTGGAGATGGTCTCAAACTATTTGCCTGAATTGGCCTCTTAATGGCTGGCAATTCTCCCAATCTCAACCTCCTAAGAAGCTAGGATTACTGGCATGAGTCTCTTTCCCTTCCCCCACTTTTCAATAAAGCACCTTTAAGACAAAAGAAGGCTGGAGGTGTGGCTCAAGAAGTAGGCCACCTGCTTAGCAAATGTGAGTCCCTGAGTTGAAACAAGTATTGTGCAAAAAAAAAAAAAAAGACCTAGAAAAAATCAGAAAATAAAATATCCTATAATCCTATTCTTTTTGGTACTGTTAGCTTTTATGTTTCTGGACTTAACTCTCACAGCCTCTTCTCAGACATAGTGTGCTTTTGTTTTTCCATTGGCCCAACCTGTTTTCTATTTCATTTTTGACTTAACGGTATATACAGTGAGAAGGCTCCTTATTTCTGACTCAGCTCCTGATTTTCTTCAAGAGGCAGCTATCGTTACCAGTTATGTAGCCTGCTGGATAGTGAGATGAACTATGTAAGCAAGTATACAGAGATTTTTCTTCTGTGGCGCTGGGGTTTGAACTCAGGATTTCACATTTGCTAGGCTAGGCTTGTGTTCTACCACTTGAGCCACGCCTCCAGCACTGATAATTTCTTTTGTGGTACTAGGGTTTGAACTCGGGGCCTTCACTTTCAGCCACTCTACCAGCCCTTTTGGGATGTTTTTTTGAGATAGGGTCTCGAACTTTCTGCCCAGGCTTACACTGAACCATGATCCTCCTGATCTCTGTCTCCTGAGTAGCTAGAATTACAGGTGTGAGCCACTGGTTCCTGGCATCTGATATTTTATAACACAAAAATGTAGTATAAACACTTTGCTTTTCTGATTTAATATCTTTGGAATCTTTACATGTAAGTAAAAATGGTACTTGCTCATTTTTATATGTTGCGTTTCTATTTTAGTTGACTGGAATTGCTTAATTTATATGCAGTGAACTTTTGTGCCCTTTCAGTGTGCAGTATGCCTTGGGGTGCACAAGTGACCAGATTCTTATTTTCATGGAACTTAAGTTGTGGAGAGAGATGAATAGATATTAGGTGGGTAATAAGTGATACAGATAGTAACAAAACAAGGTGAGAGGGAGGGTATGAGGCTATTTTGTGAGGGGTTGACCAAACGGAGGGAGTAAGCAGTGCTGACTTCTGGGGAAAGTTACAGTTGGGGCCACAGTAAGTACAAAGGCCCTTCAGTAGTTTGGGATGTTGGAAGAGAAAGGATTCTAATATGAAGTGAATATAAGGGAGAGTGGGAAGAGAACATAAGAAAGGGAGGGTGGGGCAGGATATAAGAACATACTGAACCTCTGTAGATCTTGGAAGGATCCGCTTTTTTCCCTTGAAGGTTTTTAATATTTTTAAAGTTTGTTTTTTTCTTTCAGTACTTGGGGAGCCTTGCACTTGGTAAGCAGGACTCTACCACTTGAGCCATGCCCCCAGACCTAAAGATTTTTTTTTTTTTTTGGTACAGTTCACAGCAAAATTGAGAGGAAAGTACAAGATATCCCACATGCATGCTGCCTGTCCCCACACCTACATACATTCCTTCAACATCAACAACTTAGAGTGGATATTTGTTATAATTGATAAACCTACAGTTAAAGTTTATTTAGGCTTACTCACAGGGTTGTACATTCTATGTATAATGTATAATGACATGTTTCCACCATTATGATATAGAGTAGTTCTGTTGCTAGAAGATGACTTCATCTTTCCCTACCAACCCCTGGCAACCACTCCTTTTTTTACTGTCTCCATTGTTTTGCTTTTCCCAGGTTGTCATATGATAAGTATGTAACCTTTTCAGATTGGCCTTTTCCCACCTAGTAATAGGCATCTAAATCCCATGCTTTTGATGGCTTGATAGTTCATTTCTTTTTGGTGCTGAACATTGATTTGTCTGGATGGTCTACACAGTTTCGTTTACCTACTGAAGATGTCTTGGTTACTTCCAAGTTAGGTAATTGTGAATAAAGCTGCCATGTGGGATTTTGGTGTGGACATAAGTTCAACTCCAGATAAACACCAAGGAGCATGATTGGATTATGTGGTAAGAATATGTTTAGTTTTATAAGAAACTGAGTTGTCTTCCAAAGAGGCTGTACCATTTTGCATTCCCACCAGCAATGAATGAGAGTGCCTGATGTCCCATATCACTCCCAAGTACTCAGTGTCCATATTCTGGGTTTTGCCCATTCTAATGGATATGTTTTTATCCTGATTTATTTCTGTCATCTGTTCCTTTGCTTTGTGAAGGGTCTATCTATGGCCCATTTTTTAATGGGGTTGTCTGTATCCTGGAGGGTTTTTGAGGAAAGGAGTAACAGGAATTAACAAGTTCCCAATTGATGGATATGAGGGTTGTTTGTAATTACATTGCTGCTTTGCAGTAATTACCTTTGTATAGTGCTTCGGTGCACAGGTGAACATGTGTTTTCTAGGATAATCCCTAGAAGTTATATTACTGGGTTATAGAATTTGATGGTAATTTGGGTATTGTTAGTTTGTCCTGGTGGTGGTAGACAGAAGCGCCTGTTTCCCTGTACTATTGCCTATATGGTGAGCTATCAAACGTGCTGATTTTTATGAATCTTGAACTGAAAAATGGTATTGCAGTATGTTTTGTGTGGTACTGGGGATTAAATCCAGGGCTCTACCACTTGAGGTATACCTCTAGCTCTTTTGTTTTAGTTTTGGAAATAGGATCTCACTAACTTTGCCTGGGCTGGCTTTGTGCTCTGGATCCTCCTGCTTCTGCCCCCCAGGTAGCTGGAAGTAGAAAACAACATGGTCTCAGATCATGTAAAGTGTGTCCATAAAGAAAATACATGCAGGGTAGATGGGGCTAATTTACCACAGCCTGTCAGGAGGACCATCACTAGGGCCTATGGGCATCTGTAAGGAGTGCACTGCCCCTTTGCCAATGAGTATACCGTGCTTTAATGTTTATACCTTGCTTTTTGTTTAGACCTGTGTGATTATTGTGTGATACATATTTAATTTTTTCTTCCACGTCCTGGCAAAAAACTTATAAAGCCCTTCCAAAACCCTTGGATGTCCATAGTGGTAAGGTTGTTAATGCTAATAAGTTGACTGCTGGTTGGGGACCCTTAGGTTGCTTCAATTTGGGGACTGGTCACTGGAAAGACCAAGGCATACTTAGAGGGGAGAGACTTTCAGCCCATCTCCCAACCTCCAGGGAGGGTAGAGGGGCAGGAGGTTACATTAGCCACCAGTGCCAGTGATTTAATCAATTATGCTTATGTAATAAGGCCTCCATAAAATCCCTAAAGGACAGGGTGAGAGAACTTGCACACAACTGAATGCTCAGTGATGCTTGGAGATTGGTGTGCACATGCATTGCCTTATGCACTTCTCCCATCTAGCCATTCATTTGTATCTTTTGTAAGTAAAGTGTTTCCCTGAGTGTTGTGAGCAGTTCTGGCAAATTAAGCAAACCCAAGGAGAGTGTCCTGGAAACTCTTGATTATAGACAGTATAGGTCACAACCTGCTACTTTTCCATGGGTGCCTGAAGTAGAGGGGAGTCTTGTGGGACTTGTGTAGGAATTAAGAGGGCCAGGCGCTGGTGGGTCATGCCTGTAATTTTAGCTACTTGGGAGGCTGAGATTAGGAGGATGGCAGTTTGAGGCCAGTCTGGGCAAATAGTTTGAGAGACCCCCATCTCCAAAATAACCAGAGCAAAATGGACTAGAGGTGCGACTTAAGTGGTAGAACACTGGCTTTGCAAGCATGAAGGCCCTGAGTCTGCCCCTCTTCAAAAAAAGAGGGACACTATCTGCTGCAAAAATTGCCTTGTTTGGTACGTGTGGAAACATAGCTGGTATCAGAAGTGTTGAGAAAACAAAAGTGCTTTTTTTCTTTGTACAACCACTGCTAAGTTATGGCCTGCAGATTATGAGCAGATTTAGCTTGTTTCTGCTTTCATATAACTAATGAGCTAAAATCAGTTTTACATTTTTCAATTAGTTGAAAAATCAAAAGCAAGCCAGGTATTGTGGTACTCGCCTGTAATCCCAGCACTCAGAAGACCAAGGCAAGCCTGGGTTACACAGTGAGACCCTGTCTCAAAAACAAAAGTATAACATTTCTAGACGTGAAATTCAAATTGTAGAATCTTTAAAGCTGTATTGGAACATAACCACAATCGTTTGTTTACCTATTGTCCATGACTTTTTGTCTATAGTAGCAGAAGTGAGTCATTAAAACAGACTTAAGTACCACAAAACCTAAAGCATTTACTCGTTTTCATTTTATAGAAAATACCTGCTAACCCCTGGGTTTAGAAATATATCTTCAACTTTACAATCTTCAGAATAATTATCTTCAGAGATCTTGGAGGCCAAGATTCTTGCTATGGTTGCCAGGGTTAGTTTGCCAAGACATATTTCTGGTTTGGAAGACATTGTGTGTGTGGCGTACTCTACTCCTAAGCCTCATCCCTAGCCCTGGAGGACTCATGACTCATGGGAGGAAGGGCTTTGTGAGTAAATTCTACCTAAAGGCATTTATGTAGTTAGCACAGCATTGGTGAATATAATGAAAATGGGGAAAGATTTTTGTCTAGGGCAGTGGTTCTCATTCCTGGTTGTGTACTAGGATTATCCAGAGAGTTTAAAAACATTCTAACAAAGTAAAAGCCACCAAGATGACTAGACATTAATAGTGTAAAAATCACTCTGGTCCTATATACAACTAAGATTGAAAACCATTGCTCTAGACTCCTAGTTCTTGGATTAACATGGTTTATTGCCATTAAAGCAGCAGGGAGAGTTCTATACGTACCCCTTAGGTTTCTCTGAGCCCCCCTAACCAATGACCTCATGGAACCTTTCTATGAAACAGGCACCAGTAGAGGTCACTGTGCTCAAAGAAATACTAATCTTAAAAATTGAAGCAGTATTTAACAACTAGGAAGTTATGCCCAGTGCTAAGGCAACTCCAGGCATAGCCTCTGGCTTCAATTACCACTTTTTAAAAAAATCTTCATTAGCTTATTTGTGCTAAGTGATATTTCCATACATGTATATAATGTATTTTAATCATACTTATCTCTTCTTACTACCTTCTCCAGTTTTTTATATACAATCTTTATTTTATATCTTTGATCCACAGTTACTGCTTATAAGCACCTGAAGGCTTAGTAGGTATACACATCAATTTATAATTGTTATATCTTGCTAATGTGTCAATCCTTTTTGTAATTATGAAACATCATCTGTCTTGTAATTTCTTACAGTATTTGATTTGATATTTAGATAGCAATTCCATCTCTTATGATCTCTTATGATATCTTTTCCAGCCATTTATTTTCAGCTTGTGTGTTTTGGCATCTAAGGTAAGCCTCTGTAAATAGCATATAACAGCATATAGTTGTTGGGTCTTATTTTTTTTCAGGGGGAGGGTACCACTTGAGCCATGCCCCTAGCTTTCTCCATCCTCCATCCTGTTTTTGTTTCTCATTACCTTTGCCCAGGCTGGTCTTGGACTCTGGATTCTTCTGTCTCTGCCTCCTTGGCTCTTGCTTTTGATTTTTTTGTTACTTTGTTTTTGAGACAAGGTCATGCTATGTAGCCCAGGCAGGCCTCCCGTGTCAGCCTCCCAGGTGCTGGGATTACAGGCAGACATCACCATGCCCAGCATTAGATGACCTGAGTTTTACAGTGTACTAAAAAATGGGTCTGTCAGAGAGGAGACAGGCTTTCTCTGCTGAGCAGCCACTGTTGTATTCATTCCAGGGCTTCGAAAATGATGGTCCTATTTCCTCAGATCACCACTAGTTGCCGAATTCACACATTCATCTTTTGAAAGATTCATAAAGAGAGCAAATCCATGCAAGATTCCTTGGATGTGTCTGCCACTATTTAACTTCAATAATTTGCTTTTTTTTTCCTAGGTTGGGAGGGTGAGCTTTGCTCATGGTGTCTACTGCAGGCTCGGGTCTTTGAAATGGAGCCACCTGTAGTTCATGTCCTACTGGTTGTAAACTAGTCCATGTTTGTTTGGTGCAAGCCCTTGTCCCAGTGTCAAGTATTTGACACTACCAGATTGGACTGCCATTGATCACCTCAGCCACAATAGTTCACCTTTCATGGTATAACATCTTAGTCATATTGTTTGGTTGGTTGTTTGGTTTTGAGATAGGATATTCTTGTGTTGCCCAGATTGGCATTGAATTTTCGATCCTTCAGCCTACTGAGTGCTGGAATTGTATCTTAGAGTTTACCAAAATATTTGTGCAATTATTTTAATATTACAAGTTACTTGTAATATCTGATTTCTTGCTGAGAACTTCAATGATTTCATCATAAAATGCCAGTCATGCTCCCAGGCTGCTGTCATATTCTGCATGTCTCGTACCATGTAGGAAGTCTTCTCAAGCATAGTTTTCTACTGGGGGTGTTTCATGACAAAGGACAGATTGGCTGCTTTCACATAAAATTTCTCTGAATTTTTGTTTTCATCAGTTTAACACTTTGACAAATTTAGCCTTGTCATTTCTTTCATAAACACAAACTTAATTGAAATATCAATAACTTCTTTCAGTGCCCTACAAGGGAATATCCTTACTTGGGTGGGCTACTGTAGACTTCGCTTAGTATAAAGTAATTTTTTTCAGAGTAGAGGAAAACAGTATTTGGCTGAAAATTATGTTTTCATATCTAGAGAACATTAAATTGAGAACGAATTTGTAGTTTGGCTTCCTTGTGATAAGAAAATATTTTCTCTCTGTTATTTTCCTAAATCTCTGGGGCCTTAAATATAAGGTCCTGCATTGAAAAAGTAAAATAATGAAACTGGCACATGGGGTACAGTCAGCTAGTGTTTTACCTCTGAGACCTCTTGGCTAATGTACAAATTGGTAATTTTAGAGTAGGGAGACCTGTGAACAGCACCATACTTAGTCCACATCAGTTGGACAAAGCCAACTTGACTGGTGAGAAGACACCTGAGCACTGCACCACCTGACGGACTGCAGTTTAAGAAGTACAGCATTTCTGTGAGGTTCCTGAATCTGATGATGGGGAAATAACAATGTCCCAATGGAGGGACAGTCTGCAAATAACCGTCCTGCAGTCCTCAAAAATATATGGTCATAACAAGAGAAGACTGAGGAGTTGTGCTAGATGGAAGGAAATTGAAGATAGACAATTTGTGATTCTGGATTGGACCCTCACACATACCTTTTTTGTAGTGCTGGAAGTCACCCCAGGCCTTGCACATGCCAGGAGCCATATCCCCAACCCAGATTCGACCCTATTGAGACAGGTGGTAGAATTTGAATGGGATCTGAATAAGAAGGGCATATGGGAGTTTTTGTATTCTGGCAACTTTTCTACAAGTTTGAAAGTATTAGAAAACAATTTTGATGATTTAAACTTTCAGATTGCAAAAAGAAGATGTTTTTGGCAAGTCATACTATACCAATAAGTAAAAAGTGAAAGTTTTCTCTTTCTGTCCAGATTCTACTGCTCAGAGATCATGGTTAGTAGTTTAGAATACCCCTCCAGACTTTACTCCTATATGGAAGGTTTTGTAAAACAGATTCTGTACCTATTTGACCTCATCCTTCTTAATGACCACATAGTATCCTGCTGTATGAATTATAATGTACCCATTCCTATTAATGTTATGAGGTAGTTTTAAATTTTTTCATTAATGATTAGGTTTTAATGGAAACCCTGGTCTTTACGCATTATGCTAGTATTTCTATACGGCGGATTTCTAGGTAGGGAATTGATGGATTCCACAAGTTTGTCAATATTCTATCAAACTTGCCTCCAACAAAGTTGCATTAACTCAGGTTTCTACCAGTGGTGATCAGGTAGAAATTCCCCATCTATCAATGCCATTATTATCTCTCTCATGGCTCAGGAAGCAGAGTGCCTGCCTGGCAAGTAGGAGGCCCAGAGTCAAAACCCCAGTACCAATGCAGAAAAACAAAAACAAAAAAAACAGCCAGCCAACCAAAACACTCCCACAGAATCCAGAACATATACATAAAGAAACTGAAGTCTTCTGAAGATGCAGACATTGATTTTATTTCGATTGTACTAGATGATAGTATAAAATCACCAGCCTAAGCTGTCATTTATGATTTGTCCAGGAAAAGTAGCTTCCAGCCTCATAATATCTGCCCCTATGTGAAGCACCCTCCCTGTGCCTGGACAGGTGAGATGATCTCCTCACTGAGCTCCTGTCTCTAATACCCGCTTTTCTTCCCATACCTTGGTTAGTCTGGGCTTTCTCAGCTAATACTGAAGGCAGGAAATCTACATTCCCAGGACTTTTAAGTCATATTACCTCTGTGGCTCAGAAGACAACTCAACTCATCCTAATGCTTACAAAAGTCAATCTGTAAAGAAAGACCAGCTCTAATAGTTGGAGCAGGGGCCTCATCCCTTTCTGCCCTTTGGTGACCCTCAGAATTGCACTGCAGAACTGAGGTAGAGGCAAAGAAGGGCACTTGAATGTACATAACATGAATTCAGATCCTGGCTGCTGGTGGGTGGTTTGAGGTATAGGAGGAGGAGACAGAAAAGCAGAGCAGCATCAAAGAAAGAAAGGGGGAGAAGTAGAAAAGAGCAGGGTAGCGAGGAAAGATGGTGCCTGCAATACCAGAGCCCCAAGCACCATGATACTGGGGGTTGACTCACTTGCTTCTGAACTGCACAGACACTACTGCTGGTCATTGGGAAAGAAAATCAGTATTCAGGCTGATTATCACAATAGCTACCATCTGCATGACTGAATGCACAGGATCACTTTCAAATCAAATCTTCCCCCACTCTGGAAAAGAGGCAGGCTGCGAGAAGATGCCAGCCTGGCCCTAGACCAGGTTGTATCTTCACTCTTCTTAAGCCACAGAGAACTTGAACCAGGTGGTGTGGTCATATTCCTCCCCAGGCCTCAGCAGCACAGGAGGGAAATGGGGCTGTGAAGGGGAAAAAGCACAGTTAAACCCTACCAGCCCAGGTCACACAGGCTAGACCAGTGCTCTGTGGACTGGTGCTGGTGTGGGAATGGTGTATTAAACTGGTTACAGTGAGATGAACATGAGGCAGAACTCAGATTAACATCACCAGGCTAACTTCTCAAAGCAAGGCTTGATGGAGGAAGCAAGATGCTGATTTATATTCTGGTACAAGTGCAAGCTTTTTTTTTTGGGTGGTACCAGAGTTTGAACTCGGGGCTTCGTGCTTGCTAGACAGGTGCTGTGTTACTTGAGCCACACCCCCAGCTTAAGTGCAAGCTTCTTAAGGATGGGCTGTACTGAGGAGCATTGCTCTAAGTAACACCCAGGAAAGAAAGTTATGAGAGAGTAAAAGGAAGATAATATATGGAGGTTCTGCTGCAAGTGTGCTTGCAGAAAACGAGTGGGTACTGACAAGAACAAACACGGATTTTTGAATCATACAGCCTGAGATGAATGTCATAACCTGTCGTACAGTGTGACCTTGGATTTAACACCACTGTGATAAGCCAGCTTTACCTGGTTGACTGCATCAGGCCAGTTCTGGGTCTCTAGGCAGAAACCTGAGTGCTTGGCATAGACGGCTCCGCTCTTGCCCTTCAGTGTGCCATCCAGGAAGTTACCCGTGTAAAACTGAACGCCAGGCTGGGTGGTACACTTCAAGTACCCGCCCGCTTCCAGCATGATGCACCCTGGGGATTAATGCAAGCCAGAGGTGAGGCTAGGGCAGAAAAGCAGTCAGGGAGGGCAGGTGCTGGGCAGTGGCTCAGTGACAGAAACAGAGCCAGCTACAGAATGAACAGAAGCATGGAGCAGACAAAGGCAGGAAGGGCATGGTGTAGACTCTTGCTGCATCATGGGTGAGACACAAGTGAGTGGTTTTCAGGATCCTTGGAGCACCTTCTCACTCAGATCTTGATCCTTGGGGACTGGCCAAACAGACTGACCCCAGGCAACTAGAAGGATGGTGTCGGGAGAGAGCAGCCAGGTTGGAGAGAGGCAGTTCTAGAATCTTGGAAGGGCTGAGATTTTTTTGTGTGATGCTGGGGATGGAACCTAGGCCCTCAAGCATGGTAGGCAAGTGCTGTACCACTTGAGCCCTTCTTTTGCTTTAGTTATTTTTAAAATAGGGTCTCCTGTTTTTACCTGGGGCTGGCCTTGGACTGTGATCCTACTACCTCTGCCTCCTGAGTATCTGTGATTATAGTGTGTACCACCACACCCAGCTTGTTTGTTGAGATGGCACTTTTTGCTCAGGCTGTGTTCAAGACAGGAAGATGGCTTTAGTGGGAGGAACACAGTGTGGGCCTTGGTGCTGGAGCTCTGAGACAGAAGGTTTGTAAAGTCCTTTCTGTTTCTATTAAAGTTTGAATCATTTTTTCCGCTGCCTTTAAATCCATCGATTCTACAAATATGGATTGATTACACTTGCTAGTACCAAGCATGGTGTTAGGTGTGAGAAGGAGAGGGATTGAGGACAAATGTCTACCCAGTTGGTGGCTGGGTTGGTAAGGGATGCAAAGGAAGGGCAGCCTCCAATCCCATGCAGGTGTGGGCAGGGCATAAGCCACAGACTGGGAAGGTATAAAGCACTCTTGGAGGTCAGGGAAGGCAAAGGTGGCCAATTGGGGAATAAGGGCTCCTGACAGAAAATGGCCTTGAAGAACAGACAGAGATGGGGAGGGAGCCCAGGGACAGTGGCAGGCGGGGTAGGATGGACTGATGCCATGGCGTTCACCTGTGGCATGGGAGGTGGTGCTTGGTCCCTTGTCACAAAGTGATTAGTATTGATGTGGCCAGGGAGAAGCTCCTCAAATAGGAGTTGGTGTCTCTTATCCCCAAAGAAGCAGTAAGTGAAAAGTACCTGACCTTGCACAAAAACGCTTTTCTTTGGACCCCTTCAGACAGAAATTGTGGTCAAAGCCATGGAGGTGGAACTCCTGCAGGTGTTGTCCCAGCTCCACTGGTTTTCTCAGGTCGAATGCGGTTCCTTGCACTGGAGCAACAACTCCTGTTCTTTGCAGAAAAAAACAAAACCAAAAACAAAACATAGGCGATTAACACCCAGATCAAATCTTTACATACAGGGGTCCTAAAGATTGATGCTTCTACCCTCTCAGCCTTCACTTCAGTCTGTAAAGGAGATGGAAGCCCAGATCCTAAGGAGAATGAATTGATGGATTTTCTTCATAAGAATATGCAATTGACCACAAAATGCAGGAGCTGTTAACATGTACAGTCATTCAAATGTGGAAATGAGCCAAGAAAAGGGCTGAAGTCATATAGCCCCTGGCTCACAAGCGTGAAGCCCTGAGTTCAAACCCCAGTACTGAAAAAAAAATCCAGGAAACATAATTTCCATTAAGGGATAAAGGGTGATGACTGTCCTAACTATTTAGTCATCACTGTGTTGATTCTCCCTTGTCCCCTCGCTCTCTCTTTTTGTGATGCTGAGGATTGACCCCAGTATTAGAACCCAGAGCTACATCCCCCAACTGACGTTTCTTGCTTTTGTTTTTAGTCCTGGGGATTGAACCCGAGACCTTGAGCGTGCTAGGCAAGTACTCCACCACTGAGATTTATTTATTTTCTTATTGGGCTTGCATTCAGGGCCTGCTACTTCCTAGGCAGGCGCTTACCACTTGAGCCACTTTGCTAGCCCTTTTTCCCTTTTTCATGAAGGGTTTTCTCCAGATCGGGTCTTGAGAACTATTTGCTGGCTTTGAACCCCGGTCCTCCTGATCTCTGCCTCCTGAGTAGCTAGGATTTACAGAAGTAAGCCACCCACCAGCTTTTTAATTATTTTGCAGTATTGGGATTTGAACTCAGGACCTACACCTTCTACCACTCTACCAGCCCTTTTTTGTGATGGGTTTTTTCGAGATAGGGTTTCTCAAACTCTTTGCCCAGGCTGGCTTCGAACCTTGATCCTCCTGAGTAGCTAGGATTACAAGGTCTTTCCACTTGAGGCCTTGAACTCAAGATCCTCCTGCCTCTGTCTCCCAAGTAGCTGGGATTATAGCCATGCGCCACCTCCCAGCACATTTCTTGCTTTATACTGAAAAATCCCAGGACTTATAACCAAGCTTTAGCACCTGACACTAAAAACCATTCTGAGATTAATGATTCCCAAACCTATTAGCTATCACCCTACCCCAGTCACCTCCTAGATATTCAGAAAATGCACTCTAAACTGTCAACAACGTCAGAACAAATGAGTACACGGCATGCCCAGGGCCAGCTGGGCTGCATGAGTGCTCTGCTAGCTGTCAATTTAGACTCTTAACACTCAGAAGGAAAGTTGTTCTCCAGGAGAAGTTTGGTCTGGTGAGCACTGCCTCGATGTGTATAAGCCAGATTCCTCAAGCTTTAAGTGCACTATGCAGGCAGGCCTTTCTGGGGCCTCTTCACAATGACATGCCTGGTGGTCAGTCCTGAGGGCAGATGACACCAAGTAAGGATCCTCCACTCAAAGGGTAAAGCACAGAAGAGACCTGGACAGGATCCTGTCTTGATGGTTATCACATGATCAATGCTCAGTCAAGAACATCCCTGCTGAGCATTATAGAATCAAGGCTGGTGGACCTGGAAGGTTCTCAGAACTCATGTGACCCTGCTGTGGTAACAAGTAAGGAAACTGAGACCCGCATAACTTGGTGTCACTGATCAACAACTTGCGATGCTAACATGCTGCATTTTGTCAAATTAAGAGTTAATCTCCGATACCATGTAGAGTAAGTCGAAGTAAACTTCATAACTGATAGCATTTAACAGTTGATGAAACAGGTAAAATAGTTTGCCGTATGTTTTCTACTAAAACCATCAAGCAAGCAATCAGGACTGCTTGGAAGAAAGAGTGGAACTGGGATTATCTTGTAAATCATTTCAACTGGACAAAGGAGAGAATCTCTCAACAGCAAGTAAATATGTCAACAGACACAGCTGCCACAATGCAGTAATGTGGATATTACGTTATTCTGAAAATAGTTATTTTGCTTTATCACCTTTCATTCTCTTGTTCTGTTCCTTCTCACATGCCAGCCTCACCCATTTGAAACAGAGGAAACAAGATTTTGGATTTAGCCCAGTTAAGAAAGCCCAGATAGTCGAGTATCCATGGTTCACACCTGTAATCCTAGTTACTTGGGAGGCTGTGATCAGAAGGATCACTGTTCAAGGCCAGCCTGAGTAAATAGTTTGTGAGATCCCATTTCCAAAATAACCACAACAAAATGGACTGGAGGCATGGCACAAGCAGTAGAGTGCCTGTTTTGCAAGCATAAAGCCCCGAGTTCAAATCCCAGACCCACAAAAAAAAAAAAAAAGAAAGTCTAGGCAATGGGAGGAGACCTACATAGCAAACCAGAGGGCCACTTTCAGGTTCCACTCCTTCTTCCTCTCTGGCATCTTCTTGGGTGTGTCAGGGCCAGAGAAATGGCCAGGGGTCACTGACTCAATCACTCTGAATTGATCAACATTTATGAAACACCTATGGTATGCCAAGCATTCTGATAGCCAGAGAAATGTAGATGAATCTGCCTTTAGGGTCCTGCAGCCCAGAGGAGGAACAGACTGGAAGGAGTGCACAGTCAGAGTGAAGAGTGCTCTGATAGAGACACAACTGCTGTATCTCATATCTTAAAGGTAAGTACAAGTGCTAGGTGATTAGCATGCCCTTTTAGGGTCAGGATTACTTTTCCCTTTCATGTAAAGATACTTCGGAACTTTGGTGTCTTCCATTTTTAGCAGAAAGACTTAGCATACAAAGTGGGGCTGAAATTGTAGAAGGCTAAGAATAATCAGGAACTTGTACCTTACCATTACAATAATTAAATTAGTAAAAGGAGAACCAAGTTAGTTATTTAAAGCCTTTGGTTCTGCTTTTGTGGGTTCCTGAATGCTTTGAGAAAACACGAATCTCTGGGCAACAGTGGACACACACAGAGATGCTATTCAGAGATGTAGCCTTCCTGAGTGTGAGGACTGGAGTCCTTGAGTTCACACATGGCCTGGGGAGCCTGGTTGGTGCTCACTGCTCAACCAAGGGAAGTACAAAAGAGCCCTTTCTCTTCTACCAGAATCAGCTTCAGGAGAAATTAAGAAATACAGTATTTTTTTGAAACATAAAAGCATCTATTTCCTTTGCCTTGGTTCTCCCAAATAAATCTTTATGATCCTTTTAATTTCATCTTTCTGTGGTAATTTCCCTATACTTATGCCTGGTTTGGTATTTGAATAAGTTAGCTAGCGTTTTATCTTTTTGTTTTCTTCCTTTGGTGGGACTGGGGTTTGAACTCAGGGCTTTGCACTTGCAAAACAGGTGCTCTACCACTGAGCTACAGCACAGCCCTACTTTATCTATTTTATTGGGTCTCTTGAGTTTATTATATTATCTTTTCCTCTTTTCAAAATCATAGTTTCTGTTTTTATTCTTATTTTTTTCTTTTGTACTTTCAGGTTTATTTTATTCTTTTTTCAAGCTTCTTGTGCATGAGAGGTCAAATTTGTTCATTTTTCATACTTTCCTGATCAGTGTGTGATTCAATTTTCTTCTGAGCAATACTTCAGCTGTGTCAGATGTGAGGAGTTTCCATTATATATAATTATATTTCCACATACACATTTGATACATATATTGTTATATATAATTGCCATTATGTGGTTATTTTATAGATATTCCTAGCTGTGTGTTTGATTTCTTTCTTAATCCAAGAATTATTAAGAGTTAAAAACATTTCCAAGTTAATATTGGTTCTATTACTTATATTTTGTGAAATTGCCTGAGTTCTTTTTTTATAGTCTCAGATATGGTCATTTCTTGTGAGTCTTCATTGTTAACTGCATTCTTTTCATAACAAAATCTTTTTTTATGTAACTGATGCTTCATGTCTTGAAATCAGCCTTTACTAAGTTAAGATTAAAAGGGCTGGGAATGTAGCTCAGTGGTTAGAACTCTTCTCTAGCACATGAGAGGCCCTGGGTTTGACCACAACATTACAAAAAAGTAAAAAAAAAAAAAAGAGATGAACTACTTGGGATTTCATTTTTCTAGCTTGCTTTTATATTCTTATATTTTTAACCCTTTTGACTCACTTGGTTTATACATGGCATTCATTGGGTTTTTGTTTACGGATTCAGACTGAGAGACTAGAATTAATATAGCATGTACATGTTCTAAGTGTTCTCAGTTCTGTCATGCTTTCTGTATTTTTTACTTTTTTTTTTTCAGTACTGGGGTTTGAACTCTGGCCCTACACCTTGAACCACTCCACCACCCCTTTTTTGTGTTGGGTTTTTTGAGATACGGTCTTACAAACTATTTGCCTGGGGCTGGCTTTGAGCCTCCATCCTTTTGATTTCTGCCTCCTGAGGAGCTAGGATTACAGGTGTGAGCCACCAGTGCCCGGCTCTTTTTATATTCTTGACATTCTTTCTGTATTTTTTGATGGCACTGAATTTCACCTCACGGCTTTGTGCTTGCTAGGCAGGTGCTCTACCACTGGAGCCACTCCATGAGCTGGATGTGATTCCTGTATTTTTGACTTCCAGTTGTTGTTTTAAAATAAATAAAAACTTTTGCTATGTGGTCTGTGTTTACTTACATGTGTGCCTTCTGGTAATTTAGAAAGTTTGTACTTTTGTTTTAGTGGTTTCGTATTTATACACCATATAAGACACTCCAGTATGATATATCCAATCCTTTTTGTTAGAATCTACTCTAGCTTTTCCCTTTTCTCCTTCCTCTTTGCCAATCAAGTTAGGTTTCTCACACTTTGAATTGAAGGGATTTCAGTACAGGTGCTTTGCCTCCCAGTAGATGGTGCTATAGACATATGAGAACTAGCTTTATAGCATCCACCCCAAAAGGAGTTCTCTGAGGCCTCATCAGTTCTGGGAGAATTACTAGTTGAATGTTTGGGATCTCAAAGGCCAAACCTTGGATGGTAGCGACCCACCTGGGTGCTTCTTTCCTGTAATGTTTGTGTGATCAACCACTCCCAGACTGACTTT